AACCCCCTGTAGGAAGAGCCCTTGTTCTGTGTTCATGGCCTGTTGCTACTTGCTTCCCCATTTGACCTTGAATTTTTTTTGTGCGTGTGTGGGTGCAGGGTCTCACTACACAGCTTGGACTCATAGTGATCCTGCTGATTTATGTCTCCCTAGTGCTGGGATTACAGGCGTGTGCCACCACGCCCAGACTCCATCATCAGGTCAGCGCCCTTTGGGTTGGGTGTAGTGTGGCATGAGGTTGGATCTCAATTTAATCAATTTTGCTTGATCAGTTCTGCTTGTAATCTTCTTGGTTGACCACAGCTTCATCCCATCTCATGATCACCTTGCAAGTTTTCCTGTTTTATACCTTAGACATGTCTTATGTTGTGGATTTGGTTTATAAAAATCCCTAGAAAAGCCAGGGTACTTGGCAAGGCACTTGGGTCCCCTTTTGTCTTCTCTCTCAAAAGCTTTGTTTCTCCCAAGAAATATATACTGCCTTTAAGTTCTGCTGTTTCTAAAATTCATTCTTCTGGCTTGGAGGATACAGCCTCATCCCAGTTATCTGTGAGTTTCTTTCCCCTATCTCTGGCCATGATATTCAGTTTTTTCTCTGTCACCCCTCGACCCCTTTGTCTAGGTCCTTCCCTGGCTGCCCATCCTGTCTGTTAACCTCTCTTCCCACACTGCCTGCCTCTCATGAACCTGTGTGCCCCTGAAAAATCCTTTTATCTTTCCACAGGGTCTTGTTTGCCCTCAACATTTTTAAATACACAACATATTTTAGGCACTGATTGTTTAGAGGACTGCTGGGAGCTCCTGGTCAGATAGGAAAGCAATCACTCTAGCATGTCCACATTGAAACAGAAATAGAATGAGAATGAAGCAGAGCCCTGTGTCTCTCATTCCCAATTCAGATCTTTTGCTGGTTTCTTTCTTTGGCTGAAGTGCACATCAAATAAATATCAAAGAGGCTATCTTGATGTTTATAACTCCTAGTGGACAAAAGAAAAAAAGAAAGGAGGAGGAGGAGGAGAGAGAGAGAAAGAGAGAGAGAGAGAGAGAGAGCCAGACAGACAAAAATAGTAGTACATCTGTATCTAGTTGGAGTATATAGAGGCAAAGGGAGAATTTCCCTATATTAAAACTTGAGCATGTTCTTTCAGCTCTGTATTCATATTAAAAGAATAAAGTTACAGTGTTCAAATTAACTGCAGATCCTATTCAATTAAATATTTGATTTCCAATGTTTTTCAGATTCTAATACATCCTCCCCATCGTATATACTATCCTAGTTTGCATACTAAAAATTGAAAAAAAACCCTCTGTATTTGCCTAAAAGCAATACACTGAGACCCTCATCACAAATTGAAATAATGAGTCCTACTATTTCATCATTTGGTGGGATTCTGATTCCTTAATGACAGTGGAGAGAAAGAGAGTAAAACTCATTTTCTCAATGAGCTCAGTATTTTCAGAATAGGATGACTGCTATGGCTCCTCATGTAAATAACTTTCTGCACAAAATAATTGAACCACAGGGATTTAGTCTCTGTGAGACAAAACCCTTATAAATGCTACATGTTTGTCATGTGGAGGCTGTCCTTGTGAACACACATCCTCTTCTCAGGTAGGAAAACTTTTATTTCTTTTAAATGATGGAGCTCTGAAGGAAATATTTTAATCAATGAAGGTTGATTTGGCTCAGTCTTAATCTGATGGACTAGTAAATGTCCCTATTAAAATACTACTATTTTCGCTGCACTTTACTATGAATAAATGTACATTGGAGTAGAGTTTACATGAAGGAAATGGAGAGAGACCAAAGCAAACATTAGCACCATCAATAATTGACTTCTTCCAATGGGAAAGTGCTCTTCCAGGTGCGACTTGGTCTATGGTACAATCAGGTACAATCCTTGTCTCTGAGGAGTGTGTGCTTTCATATAATGTTATTTCAAACTAGACCTGCATCTTTCACCAAAATACTGGCATCTGCATATTTTCAAGTGCTGGCTAACTGCCATACAAATTTGAAAAGATGCTTTTGAATTAACATCATCTCATGAAAGCATGAAGCAAATTCCATGAATGAGAAAACTAAGACACAGAGAATTTTAGAATTGACCCAGGTTATGCAACTTTAAACCAGAAGCAGCAGGATTTTTACTTAGAAAAATGGTTTGCAAACTCCCAGTAATTGTTACAGTATATTTTGATAATTACCAACGTATACTCCCCGTGAATTCACAAAAGTAATAGCTTTTACATGAGAGAATTTCTCCGTCAGGTGAATTTCAAGAGCACTAGGATGTGTCCAGAGTCACTTAAGGTACTCAATTAAGTTATCTGGAATGTCCATTCCTTGCTTTACTGCATTTTTACACAGTTAAAAATGAAGAGAGGCCAGGGACATAGCTCGGTGGTCTAAGAGCCTGCCTGACAAGCACAAGTATCTGGGTTCGATCCTCAGTGCCACATGCTACGCTGGTTCCATGCCAAGCCAGCCACCAAATCATGGCATGGTGGCTCACAATTGTAATCCCAGAGCCGGGGAGACTGAGACAGAAGAGCACTACGAGTCTGAGCTGCATAGTGAGTCCCTGTACCAACTAAATAAGAGATTTTTTAAAAATGACAGGAGATGTAAAGCATTTTGGATCTTGGTTAACATTTCAGTAAGGAAAGACATTAAAATATATGCCTGCCCCAATGGAATATTTGGCCATTTGGCAAGTACAGTGATGTAAGTCATTTTTGCCTTATAGGCTTAAGAAATGAAAATTTTGAATATATTTAGGATTTCACCAATTTATTCCACATTTTGCTATTATAGTTTAATTCTAAAGCACTCATGTGTCCAATGATATAATGCAGCTCACAAGAATTCTCAAACACTCAGTTTATGAAGTGAATTGAGACTGATCACTTTCTAGCATTAATACTGTATGTATTACAGGAAAGTCAGAACAAGAGTCAGTGTCCCATTATCGTAAGTGTTCTAGGTCATCAAAAGAGGAAGTCGCTTTTCTGTGAGGGTCTCTGTGACCAGTTTTCCTTTGCCAAATACTGGGAGATGCAATCTATTGTACCTTAGTCACTGTACCAACTGTCTGCTTCACATGAGTATTATTGCACTAAAGTATGCACAGCATTTTTCTAAAATACTTGAAACAACTGAGATGGAGAATTTCACTAGAGTCCAAAGAATCTTCTTTCAATCTTTTATTCTTATTTCCCTCATCACCCACCTGGATTACCTATTACATTATATTTCCTTTAAACACTAGTACATCATGAAGAATTACACTTCCTAATATATTTGCATTCTTATATACTACATGAGCACTGCATGCATAAGTATGCCTGTGACAAGTGGAAATACTTACGAGTTATTTTTGTTGTCCTACATGTTATGGTTTGTGTGTAATTGTCCTCCCAAAGCCTCATGTAAGTTATAGGGCAGATGTGGCTGGGGGAGCAATGGGTGGCTTGAGGAGTGGGGCCAGAGGATCAGGGTGGGGCCCAAAGTGTTGGGCCAGAGAGGCCTGAACCATTAAACTGGCTAGCCTATGCTTTCTGAGAGATAAGGAGAGGGTCATCCTGGACATGGCAGTGTCCCAGCCTCTCCTCCAGTGTCTTGAAATCTCCAGTAACTGTGAGCTAAATAAACCTTTCCTTACCTAAGCCTGAGTGTTGGGTATTTGTCCCAGCAATGAGAGAAGAGTAATTTAAACAGAATTTGGTACCGGGAGTGGGGTTGTATCTGTGGCTATGCCTGATCATATGGATTATAAGCTTTCGGAAATGGCTTATGGGAAGAGATAGGAAAGGCTTGGAGATGTCACCTACAAGAGAAGCACTGGAAGAGCTTTGGCTGTTTTGTAGGAGAGATTCTGGTCAGAGCTCAGACCAGAAGACTAACAGAAAGCCTGCCTGTAAAGAACATGCTGGGGAGGTTCTGCTGGGAAGAGGGACTGTGTTGGATGTTCGACTCCAGATCATTTGTGTTTTCACTTGGCAAAAAGTTTGTCTGAATTTTGCCCGTGTTTGGAGACTTTGTCTGAGACTGAGATTAAGCATGGCAGACTGACTAATCTTTCGAAGGAAATCTCAAAGCAGCCAAATATTGGGGCAGTGGCATGGTTATTATTGGGGGCTCTTAGTCAGATTTATGTTGAGAACGAAGAGCAAAGAGCCCAGCAGAATGATGTAAAATGTGAGTGTGGTCAGAAAGGAAGGTCCAGGAGGGCTATGGACTGCAAAGATACAGCTGAGATCTCCATTGCCCATGAAGAACAGGAGAATAGAAAAGATGTCCTGAGGGCATCACAGGGGGTAGCATGTTCTTGCCATTTGCAGCCTCAGAATCACAAGGGTGAGAGACTTCAGTTAGGAGAGAAAGCCACAGA